TCCCTGGTTTGTTTGCATGCTCAAAGTAGATTTGTTTAGTCATTTTCAGACTAATCTCCAATTTTTCTTGTTCCAGTAAATTTAATTTGTGTTTAGTTGTTATTAACTGGTTCTGTATTCTTTGGTTTTTGGGGTTCTTTTGTAATTGGATTTCTAAATCTTTAATTTCTTGTTGTAAATTACTTTGTTGGGCATACTTTCTTTTATTTCTCATAGCATTGTAAGAGATTGTTATTCCTCTTATAAATGCCTTAAATGTGTCCCATATATTTTGTTTCGAAGTTAGATCATTATTATTTTCCTTTAAGAAGAAGTTCAGTTCTTCTTTCAGTTTATTAATATATTCTTCTTCTTTTGTTAAATGAGTGTTAAAAGTCCATCTTTTCTTTGGTTTTCCTCTACCTCTCCAGGTTATTTGAATTGGATTGTGGTCAGCCCAGTCATTTGGTAAGATTTCGCTATCTTTGATTTCATTAATCAATTCACCGTTTATCCAAGCCATATCTATTCTTGTCCAAATTTTGTGCGGGTTAGAATAATAAGTAAACTGTTCTTTTTTGGGATTTAATTTTCTCCAGATATCTACCAGATTCATTTCATTCAACATATCCTTACATGGCTTAGAAAATTCTCTATTCCCTTTTTTGTTCTTACTCCTATTACTATGATCCTTCCGGTAGTCAGCAATAGAGTTAAAATCGCCAATCAGAATAATATTACCATTTTCGAATTCTGTTATTTTTTGATGGAGATGTTTAAAAAATTTACCTTGATCATCATTTGGGGCATAGATTACTACCAGTAAGAGTGTAATGCCATTAATCAAGATTTGTACTACCAGCGTTCTTCCTTCAGGATCCGCCCAGATTAACTCCGCTTTTAAGTCATCTCTCACATAGATTGCGATGCCTTTCTTTTTGTGTTTATCTGCTGGTGCTGTAAATAATTTTCCCAGTTTCGGACACTCTAGGAATTTCTCCTCACTTTTCCTAACGTGTGTTTCTTGTATGCAAATTATATCAACATTTTGTTTTATTAGTTTGGTTAGAGTCCTTTTCCTTTTAGCTCTTGAATTTAGGCCGTTTATATTAATGAAAAGAATTTTCTTTCCTTCGTCCATTTACTTAAGTCTGCCTCGCTTTTTGTCTCGTAACTCTACGGCTCTCTTCTTGTGGTTGATATGGAGTTGTTTCTTCTCTTTCTCGATGTAAGTTGTCTTTCCCTTGAATTTGGACAGATCCTTCTTCTTTGTTCCTATGGCGGTTACGATCCTCCTGCATATTTCTTTGGATTTTCTCCCTAGTGAGTTGATCCTCCGTGGTTGTTAGCTGTTCTAGGAAGTTTTGTGCTTGTTCAATTGAGTCTATTTTAATTTTTCTTCCCTTCCACGATATTAGCATCCCTTCTGGGATTAGCCATTTAAATGAGATTTCGTTTTTATTTAAGTAATTAGCTAAAAATTTATATTCTTGCCTCATGGCCCTCACTTTACTTGGAATCTGCTTAAGAATTATAATCTCTTTGCCCTTATATAATATTCTCTCATCTCTGGCCTTTCTATATATTAGGTCTCTCATACATCTTCTTGAAAAACGGATATGGATCTCCCTTGGGCAATTGTGACGCCTTGCATAGCTGGTATTCACCCTATAGATTTCATCAAATTCCTTGAGTAATTCATCTTTCTCTTTTTCTACTAGTTCAGCCAACAAACCTGCCATTAATTGTTCTAATTCTTCATTTTTGGATTCCTCTACATTTTGGAACCTTAAGTATGCAGCTGCTCTGTCCATCTCAAGTTGGACCAAGGAATCTTCCATTTCTTTATTAACATTTTTGAAATCTTCCTCAGTCCTTTCTAGGTTCCTCTCCACTTGTTCCGTCCTGTTCTCTATTTCTTTTATTTTTAATTCAGTTCTTTCCATGACCAATTGCATTGTCCCAACCCAATCTTCAACTCTCTGTATATCTGCTCTCATCTCCTCTTTTAATTTACCCATTTCTTCCTTCAGTTCGCTAATATCTGCTCTGGTCTCATTATGATTCCTAATCATAATCTCCTGCATTCTAGACATTGATTCTTGCATTGATTCTTGCAGGGATAATAATGTCACTTGTAAGTTGGCATTCGTAACAGTCGGTTGTTTTTCTCCTTTCAAGGTCTCTTCTATAGTTTTCTGCGTTGTTGGGGAGGCAGATGCCAGAGTTGTCAACAAGGTCTGATTGTTCTTCCTTCCTGTTTTCAGGGCCGTGGTTGTTGTGGAAGTCATCTCTGCTAAGATTTGTTTTTGCAATTGGACAATGTTAAGAATATTATCCCAAATCACCATTCGATGTAATAGCCCTTTAAGTGTGATTACAAATCTATTTGCTATGCTTACACCCCAGATACTTTTAGCTCTCTTTCTTTGGTCCAATCTGTCATTCAGGCAAATTAAATTCCAATTCAATAGAGTGTTATCAGTTACTATACAATACTATACAATAGGTGCTATACAATAGAATGAAATCAAATATTATGTATTATGTATTATTCTCTATATTAAATTCAAATACCAGAGTTAATTGTATTTTACCCCTAGTAAATCATACTTGTTTAAAGCATACAACCAACTCTAGAATTTCTCACTCTATATATACTTTTGTCCTATAGTATATATAAATATTTAAGATTCCATTCTATCTGAGACAACCCTATTAACAGTCCTTAAGATTTTTATATATCCAAGAGAGTCTAATCTGTAAACCCTAATACCTGTAACAAGCAGTTTGGCTTTATACTTTATACTTTATACTTGTATTTTTAACTATTATAAAAAAAAAAAGAAAGACCAGAGAGAAAGGGAGAGAGAGAAAGAGTGCCAGAGGAAAGGGGTCTTTCCAATTATAGGAAATCACTAAGCACGTATCTGTAGGATTAGTTCCATAGAAAAACAAGTCTGAGTTAGGGCTGGCGTTTAGTCTTTTAGTCTCTCCTCCTGGGCGCACCAAGGAAGCAGGGGGAGGAAGTGCTGACTAATTGCTGTCAGCGATCAGTCTTGGCCAGGCTTCCGTCTGTCTCCTCCTTCTTCTTCCCTCCTCTTCTCCCCCTCTGCCAGCAACCGTCAATCCACCGTCACTTTGGGTATCCGCCTCAGATTAATCACTTTAAAAATCAGTTTTTGTAGACAATAATGCTAAGAGGAAAGGATCTTGCATATAAAAGTCAGTGCGACGTTTTCCGGCTCTCCACCTCTCGCTCTGCCCTCCTTCACAGCCAAAATCCTCTCCTAGTCTTCCAGCCTTCTCAAGCACTGATCCTGGATGGCAATCCACTTCCGAGTTTCTTAAATTCCACCGCCTTTTTCTCTCCTCAGCAACGCTCCAATCCACACTTTCACTCTGAGTGTCGAGCCACTCTAAACGCGTTTATCCCCCATTCACTTTTCAAACTGCTTTTCTAGCCGCTTGTCTCCAGCTTCCCCCCCTGTTACTCACAATGAAACAGGGAGAATCGGACCGATCACTCTCACGGCTTTGTAATCCTTCTGCCCTTTTCCGCTCAGACCCTTCAGACTGTCACTTTTTGCTTCGTCAGTTCAGTGGCAGACCGGACTTTGGAGCCGCCATTAGCTGGCAGCTGGCTCAATCGCGCTGGTCTCAGAGGCTCTTCCTTCGTTGCTGGGGAGTTGCCTTCCCCCAAACAGCAACCCGGGGGTCCTCTATTCTGACACGAAGCTCTACGGGTTTCGTGTATCCACTGGGGATCCCTCCAAACGCGAGAAGAGGTGTTCGAAAGCCCCAGCTGGGCTTCTCCACCTCTGGACGTCCCTGTCCTGCCACCGGAAGTCCTCTGGGTCTTGTTCTTTTTAAATTGGAAATCAAGATTTCACTTTTATTTTGAGAGCTGCAATTAAGTTTGTTATGGAGTGATGTTGATATCCTTATGATTAAATCACTAAAATTAGATTGCAGTCAGCATTTAGTTATTCCTATTAAAAGTTTCAAGGGAAAAGTTGTATCATGAATTTTAAGTGGGACAAAGCTAAGGCTAATGTGGTAGACTTGTGACTTCCAGGTGGAATTGGAAAAAATGTTAATTCAGTATTCCATCCATACGTAGGAGTTTTTCTTGACTCATTTCCTCTCATGGTGAGGAGATTAGGAGAAAACTGATGAGAAGTAAGCTAAAATATTCACAAACCCGGGAACTGCTCCTGATGAATACCCAGGGCTGAAATGACAGATAGATTGTCAAGAGTCAAGGAAACTGGGAAGCAAGTTTCTATATTTGTGTCATGAATTTTGGGTGGTAGCTTTGGGTCTCTTCATCTTGAAAGTGATGTGTTCATGTTATTTGAACATACACCTGTTTTTATATTTCAGTTTGTGGTTGATTTCTCTGATCATACTAAACTTGTTGGACTAAATTCTAACAAGCTAATTTTACAGTATGCTGGGGGTGGTTCCTCTTCTCTTTTGGGGGGGATGCAAGGCATATGAAAGTTCACCATTCTGAAAACCCCCAAATAGATCAAGGTACAGTACACAATTTACCACCTCTGTGTTAAGTCACAAACCAAAATGTTTGCATAGTTATATTGCTAGATTAGGGACAAGAGATGCTGAGATGCTTTGGAAGCAGTCATTATTTCTCAACATAATCTACCCATCAAACTTGTTGTGAGAATAAAATTTAAAGAGTTTATATACAATATATCTTGCCTGGAAGAAATATAGAATATCAATGTAACAAACAAGCAAAAGGAATCATGCTCAGCAAATCACTACGGCTGAATTTCATAGAAAGTGTACTAAGCTCATTAATGGTTAGTGCTATTTATGAATTCATCTCCCGAATCCACTGGTGTGGAAAATATGTAAACTGAAGAGAAAGAGATATTTAATTAAAAGGAAAGCTTTATGTGACGTATTCCAATCCTGCCCAGCTTAATAATGTTTTATTATAGTTTTATCTTAAGTTTAAGAACTAACACTGCAATTTTGTCACTGATATTTAGAGACAGAGAAAGTCTTCACATGGGGTAGAGGAGACTATGGTCAACTTGGAAGAAGTGAGATGCCATGTGAAGGGCAGAACCAGGAGAGAAAGGGATCAACAGAGCATCATTTGAAACAGTCATCTTATGCTCCTGCTACAGTATCCAGACTCTCTGGTGCATCTGAGGTAAGGGAAAACTACGTGTGTTGTCATCTTAGACCTTCTTTTATTAATTTGGATGGTGCCTCTGGCACAGGGAATGCGGTACTGTCTCAATCCATTGAATCAACATGGCATGCATTTACTTATTATATCTAATATTCTGCCAGTTATTTAGTTTGTGAAAACTGAAAGACAACCAAATGTAGTTCTCTATACTATTCTAATAAATAGTTTGATTGCAGCTTTCCCTATATTTTCCTTTTTACAAAACAAAAGTTTCTTAATACACACTTTTTGTAGAGAATTCTTTGTAGGATATAAATAAGTTAATTTGTACAAAATATTTGAATTTTGGAAGACTGTCTTTAATGATCTCCATTCTTTATTATCACCCTAATATGCTGGTTTCATACTAAAGTTAATTGTAGAAGTACTCTTTCTGAAAAAAAAAAAAACAGGAAAAGAAAAGGTTCTTTTTCGATTAACAAAAATACAAATTTTCAGCAGAACATTTGCATGTCTTTATGTTCTAAAAATTAGCAGCTTGAATTATGTTAGGAGCCATAGAGCTCCATTCCAGAACTTTAAGAACATCAACTTCATATAAAAAAAGCTCATAGGTAATCTAGATATCAAATCTACTTGCAAATTGGCTTTTTTTTCTCTTGGATGCATTGATAAATAGAAGATAAGAAATAGAACATAAGAAAGAATAGTGAACAAGCAAGGAAGAAAATAGAAAAAGAAAAAAGAAAGAAAAGAGTATAAAGAAGTGGTTTTTGGTCTTTTTGACAGCAGTTATATCTAATATCTTCATTACTAATATTCAGTCTGGTAGTAAAATGCTACTGCAAATAGGACATCCAGTAGTCTTCTTCCTAACAAAGTGCATAAGAAATGCCTTTGATACATTTTTTTTAAATTTTGAAAATTGCATGTTAATTCTGTAAACTTCATCAGTTTCTGCATCCATATCATCCGCATTCCATTCTAAAAAAGTTTTTGAAGATTGAACAACTTTTTCTCTGGTATCTTCCGGGAACATCTGGAACTGCTTCAAGTCTCAAGTGAAATTCTTTTTTTCTCAATTCTGATGTAATACCAGATTATCTCAGTCCTTTTCCATCTCTATATTTATTATTTTTCTTTCTAAAATTTCCATTTTGTCATTGTTTGCAGTTGTCCTATAGATACTTCAATTTTTGTAAGAACTTCTTTCATCTCCATTTTCAAACCTTTCTTCCATTCTCACTTCAAAAACAACCAGCTCACTTTAGATAGATTCAGATACCTGCTCCCCCATCCCATCAAACATTTTTGTAATATTTCTGGGTTAATTCACTTTTCTGTTTATCCATAACAAAATCTTTGTTGATAATTTTAGCAGATGAGGATAAAGAGAGGATAATATAATAGCAACTTTACTAAATATTAACGCTTGTCTGGAGCAACAGTTTGATATTTTGCATTGATTTTTCTACCTGAGGTGAGATAGGATTTTGGTTTTTTTAACTTGGTATAGTGTCAAGACAGTTTGGTGAAATAGTTAAGGCTACAGCCTAGTAACTGGGAGATTGTGAGTTCTATCCTAAGGCTGTTCTGTCTTAGTCAAGAAACCAAATGGGTGACCTTGGGCCAGTCAGTTTTCTCAGCTCTAGGAAGGAGGCAATGGCAATCCACTTCTAAAAATACATTGCCAAAACATGAAGGGATTTGTCCAGGCAGTTGTCAAGAGTCAAAAAGCTGACTCAGAGGAAGACACACATAATATCGAGCAAACAACCCTCAAAGAAATACCTCCCTTTTAGTGCATATTGCACTATGGTAGCCAGTCCAAAACACACCCCTATTAAGATGTTAGATGTTTGAGATGTAAAAAAATCAGACCAAGATAAATCATTTCAGATTTTTTCCACCTTTAATATAATATATAAGCTGCATGATTCAATTGAAAAACAAACTGAAATATTTTAAAGAGAAAATAACAATAAAAAGTGAGAATAGTATAACTGCATAAAGATGCGTACCCTTAAACTAATATTTCATTGAAGCACCTTTTGATTTTATGACAGTCTTGTGGGGTAAAAGCCTATCAGCATGGCACATCTTGCCTTGGGAATCTTTGCCCACGCTTCCTTGCAAAAGCACTTCATATCTGTCAGATGACGAGGGCACATCCTGTGCACAGCCCTCTTCAGGTCACCCCACTTCTGGCGAAGCCATTCTTTTATTGATTTGGAGGTATGCTTTGGGTTGTTGTGATATTGAAAGGTAAAATTCCTCTTCATCTTCAGCTTTTTAGTAGAGGCCAGAAGGTTTTATGCCAGAATTGACTGATATATGGAACTATTCATATTTCCCTCCACACCTTGACTAAAGCCCCAGTTCCAGCTGAAGAAAAACAGCCCCAAAATGATAATGTTGCACCACTCTGCTTCATGGTAGGTATGGTGTACTTTTGGTGATGTGCAGTGCTATTTGCTTCAAATATACTTTTTGGAATTATGTCTAAAAAGTTCAACCTTGTTCTCATCAGACCATCACATGTTTTCCCACATGCTTTTGATGTAGGTTTTGGCAAAATGTAGCTGGGGTTGGATGTTTTTCTTTCTAAGAAAAGGTTTCCAACTTGCCATCCTATCGCCCCAGCCCAGACATATGAAAAATATGGAAGATTGTTGCCACATGTAGTACAGAACCAGTACTTACCAGAAATTCCTGCAGCTCCTTTAATGTTGCTGTAGGTCTCTTGGCAGCCTCTTGGACCAGTTTTCCTTGGGTTTTTTCATCAATTTTGAAGATAATTTTTGGTAATGTCACTATAGTGCCATGTTTTCTCCTTTTATTGATGACTGTCTTCACTGTATTCCATAATATATCCAATGCCTTGGAAAGTGTTTTGTATCCTTCTTCTGACTGATACCTTCCAACAATGATATCCCTTTGAAGGTTTGTAAGCCGTTTGCAGACCATGGTTTTTGCTGTAAGAGGCAATTGAACAAATGTCAAAAAATAAATCCTACCAGAGCAGCTGAATTTTATATGGGCTTGATCAGAGCCACTTTAACTGAGGGCTGATATGTACTGACTACTATTTACCATCATTTTGAATGTGATGGTTAATTATGAACGCAGCAACATCCCTACATAAAAAGGGACTTTATGCAGCCGCATCATTCTAGTTTTTAATTGTCATAATTTTCCCTCTAAAAGATCTCAGTTTGTTTTTCAATTGGATTGTATAGCTTATATGTTATATTAAAGATGGGAAACATTCTGAAATGATTTACCTTGGTCTAATTTTTTTTAAACATCTCTAAAATCTGGCATTTTTACAAGTGTATATAGACTTTCTATATCCATTATGGACTTAGGGAGTTCTTGTTTTCACTATCAATGAGCAGCAAAGAGAAACCTGAATTCCTTCTTAACAGACTCTTTGTCACAAACATAGCTTTAAAAATTCTTTCTGTTTGCTGAGAGCACAAAAAATGAAAAGGCATAGGAAACAGATTTATGAACATGGCTTTAGCTCGTACAGACATAGCAGCAGATCCAGTACTTTTCCACTGATTTTTTTTAAAAAAACAAATCAGAACTGTGAATGTGCTACAATGAACTGCACTGCAGGTTGCAGCCCCTGATTGGCATGCTAGAAACATCTTTAGCATACTGCTAAGTAGGGATTGGTGAGGAAAGTGGGTCAGAAAACATGCTTACTGTACCTGCAAGAGACTGCAGAGTGTAACAGCATGGAAACAGGACTGTCCACAGTATGGCACTGTCTTACTAAGTATAATGGGAAACACTGCTAAGAGTTTGCCCTCATGTGTTTTTGGTGATTGCCAAGTGAATGTAGCAATGACAGTGTTGTATATATTTAATTTAATGCCCTATAAAACATTAATCTATAGTGCTTTGAAGACGAGTCTCTTATTATTCTATATGTAGCCAATACTACTTCCTACATAAATATGTAGAGAGGAAGTATGTTTGTATTGAGCATCACTATGTATGGTATGTAACATAAAGATGAACTGGGTTTAGTCTCTGATCGTTGCAATAATGTATGAGGTGGATTTTAATCTAAACCAGACAACCCGTGACCCATTGTGTCATCATTTTATCATCCTATTTTGTCATCCTATTTTATCATCCTATTGTTTTTTATTTTTCTATCTCATGTATTCAAAATTATATTTATTTTTATACCTGTATCTTGTAAGCGATTGACGAATCAAAAAAATACTAAAATAATACTAAAATCATTTCAGAGATTTTTCCATATACAGATAGAGAAACAGAAAGATTACAGGGAAGCAAATATATCAGTGGAAGCAGGAGCAACTTCTGACTTCCTGTTTGCTTCCCCATTGAGTTTCCTTATGTGAAACTGGCCGTGATCATGGGAGATCTTCCCTCCCTTCCCTCCCTTGCCTTTAAGTGTGTGATGAGCATTGTTTCCCTTCAACTGTGCCATATGGCTTCTAGGCAGTATGGGTAGTCCTTCTTTTGCTTCTTTACAAGCCTCCAGGAGGCTAAGGTGTTTTATAGGCTACTAACCTTTATTGATGTATTTTTTTTCAGTTCACAATACAAAATGTGCCATAAGCCATTGCAATGGTTAATCTGTTTGAAACAAAGCTTTAAAATATGAACAGCTGAACTTTCCAAAAGCTTTAGCTTTAGCTTTAGCTTAGTGAGGTTTGATAATGGCCTTGGTCTATCAAAATGTAGCCCATTTCATAGTCCATGAATATAGCTTCAGTTTTTTCCTTTGATCTTTCAAATAATTCTATTTGAAAAGATATGCATTCATGCTTAGCTAACATTAAGTATGCTACTACATTATTTATTAACTGAATAAATGAAGACATATTGACAAATACAAATGTTGTTCCATAGGTATCATATAATGACCCACAAGCATATAATTTATTTATGCTATTCAGTAGTAGAATTTTTATCATGACCATATCAACAGATTCTAGCTGATGTACAAAAACAACTTGCACATGAAATATAACCACTTTTTGTTGCAAGTCTTTTGTATAACATGGTACTAGAACTGCTGCATACTTTCATTAATTATTTCTACAATGGAGAGCAGGACTGTCTGATTTAGCATGGTCACTGGCATGGGTAGGCATTATTTTTTGAAGATCATTTCCAATGAAAATTTGGTGTTATTTTCCCGATTGGCAGTTCTTAAACTGTTTGATCTAAGTATCCCTTTTTTTTCTGAACTCAAATAATGTCAATGCCCCCACAAAAAAAAATAACAAACCAGGTTTTGTTGAATTACACAAGTATCTTGATGCCAGCCATCACAAACTGGATCCTTTACTCAGATATAAGCAATTACAAATTTCTCCATTATCCCCTGGATATGCCCAAACTACTCTTTTGGAAAGTTGTGCATTTGTGTGTGCACAGCCATCTGTTATATTATGTTTACTGATAAAAAGTTAGAAATGAGGCAGTTTCTTTGACAAAATTTCTGCCTTCCCTTGGAGGATAAACCCAAACAGGCTGATGGAATTTTGAGTTGGAATTAAATAGAAGGGTTGCTTGAGGAAGAAGGTCTCTGCATCTGTATGCATTATGTATGCAGCAGATAGAACTCCACAATCTTCATAGGGCCATTCCTAAATAGGCTAGTAAAATTTAATATAATAGTTTGATTATGTGACATCAAGTAGTTTTTAACTCCTAGCGACCACATAAATAGATTTTCTCCATGATGATGTCTATGCAGATTCTCAGTCATCCAGGTCATGGTTGTCTTAAAGGTGCTTTTTCAAGAAGCACGTTTGTTTTTCCTTGAAAGCTGCTTCATCCAAGAAGCTTCTTCGGTTCTGACTGAATGGTGTAAAATAGGAATATAAATCCTTCCATTTTCAGCATTCCATAAGAAGGGAAGAAGTTTCTTGGATTAGAAGTGAAATGTCTTCATGGAAAAACAAAGAAAGCCCAGTTTCCTCTTGAAAATCTCCAGGATGATCTATCCCTAACCTGTTCTTTTAAGTCTCCACCAACTTTTTGCTACCATAATTGAGTCCATCCACTTTGCTGTTTTTCTTCTGAACCTTTTCTAGAGAGCTGTGTCTTTCTATAATGTCTCCAAAGCAGGATAATTTTTTCTTTTTTGCTTCAAATCATTGTGCTTCAAATAAGAATGAATCAATGGATCAATCAAGTAATCCATTGGTTTGTTTTCTTGGATATCCATCTCAATCTCAGGTTTTTCTCCAACTGTAATGTAATTGTGTGTGCTTTTTTAAAATGAAATCAACTTTTGATTCTGAAATCTGTACTGAATCTGTTGTGTTTGCAAAGGGAAACATTTTGATAACTTCTTTTATTTTCATTTGGTTTTTTAATTGTTGAAAAGCCCATTTACAAGGGAAGTTGAAGATTTCTTTTCTGTTCTATTCTCCATTGGGAGAAAACAATTTTTCAACTCTTGAAAAACATATGTGGGTGGAGTGGGAAGCTAGCTTTGCCAACATGCGAAATTTCAGCCATACTGCTTTACTCTTAGAATGATATTTATTCAGATGTTTACTCAGAAGTAACCACATGTTTGGGTTCTCTATGCAATTTTGAAAGCTCATGATCAGATTATCTGGATGCATTTAATCTTACCAGCTTTTGCACAATTTTATACTAATTACCTCCTGGGTAGAAACTGGCTGTGGCTTTGCATAGCTGTGGAATAAACTATACAAATTTTGGCACCCTACAGTTTTAAAAGAACGAAGCTGCTGGGGGAAGGCCCATATGCATAAATGATTATCAGCTTTCTTGATCTACTTCCTACTTCTTTCGGGGGAAGGGGGTCTGAAAAACCAAATGTTCCCTTGTCTTTTCATACAGTAGGAGAAGATTTTAACAGCCTGCAGGAAAGCGCTTGGAAAGAGTTCCATGCGTGAGTGTTTCGAACAGACACTAGGTGTCAGCTGATTCATACAATGCTAGCCAATAATTGCCAAGAGGGTGAAGAGCTGTCCTGATGCATTTTGCTGTGGCTTGGTTGCTATAGAAACTGCTGCTTTTGTACGTGTATTGTGTGTGCAACCCCTCTACCATATGGGTTCTGCTTCACAGACACTGCAGATTATGGAAACATGTTGCCACAATATAGCTCTTAATGGTGTTGCCTGGGTCATGAAGAAACTATCCTTTCTGATTGTTAAAAACCAACTAAACAACCCTTCTCCATGCCTCTTCTCCCGCCATTTTCTGTAGGCTCAGTGCATCTGTGGGCAAGCAGGGTCTTAAAGGCACCAGAAGGCAGATCCCTGAAGTTGAACAGAAAAGAATGAATATTTCCATTTCCTTTGTATAAATGTTGGTGACAGTGTTTGTGCTGTGAAACAGTTAAAAGGACTTGAAGAAGCTTTGTGAGGTCAGCCTGTCCTAGCCGAGAGCCCATTAGACCCTTTGGACTACACACCAAATCATCCCCAGTCGAGGGTTGATGGGATTGTTATGAAACAGATCTGGAAAACAACACCAGAAAAATGGCTCAAAAGTATAAAACTGCAGTGGGCTTCGAAGCATGACAATTCTGCTAAAATCTCACCATAACACATATTTTATCTTTAAGCCTTATGTTAGCAATTACCAATAATCAGGCTGGCATGTATTCATGAGATGAAAGATACTGACTTTAAAAAAAAAATCCTGCTCATCTTTTAACCTTTTACAATCAGGGGACTTTCTCAGTGGGGCGAGTAGTTCCACACAGAATTAACTCATGTGCTTGTGTGTGCCTATAGGTATCAGTAATCCTAATTTATCTGAAAATACTGGTAGCTATGATTTTTTCTAAGGTTTTTGTCTAGGAAGACATTTTTTTTTAACCTAAATACTGCGAAACTCTTAGCTGTTGCCCAGTTCTATGCCAGTCTGACTATTCAACATCCATACTTCCTATTGAATAAGCTTGGTCTGAGCAGCTGTTTTAACTCCTGCAGCTTGCTATACATCATCTTTGTTTGTGAGTTGATTAAACCAGGTCATGGCCAGAATAATTATACCCACCCTCTATTAGAGAATCTTGCTTGTTCTAAAGAGAGAGGACAATACAAGAAAGAAGTCAACAGGACATTATCAAAAGCAAAAGGTGTTTTAAAGGTGTCACTGTATATACCATATTTTTTAAAAAAATTGAATCCAATAACTATAATAACTGCAGCAATTTAACAGTTGCTCTAGATAAACTGTCTTTTGTCAACATCCTGTATACAGGTTTTCCATAGGATGACCAAAACATATAAGTTATGAGTCTCAGAAAATTGAATGATATGGAATAATATTTTAATTGTTTTATTCTATTCAAACAAGCTAACAATAACTAAGTCGTTTGGATAGTGAGTTGGGTGGCATCTAAACTTAATGATAAAAATAAACTGTGACTGCCTTAATAATATGAGGTAACATTACTATGATGTAATGTTAAATTGAAAAATGAAACATGATATTACAAGCAAAACACTTTAAAAATTGATGAAATTGTTCATTGGACTCTTCCTTGCTTACTTATTTGAACTGGAGTGAGAAATCCAAAGCTGTAAAGATTGTGTAGATTCTTGCTTCTTATGATTGCAAGATCCAAGACCAGAAGTTTAGTCATTAAATGAATGGATGTAAGTCAAGGACTACTTACTGTGTAAGATCTGTGTAGCTGCCCAACTTAAAAAATTACTCTGAATAGCTCATAAGAAGACTAAAAACTGAGCTATAAAAGCTATAAACCATATGTTTGAATATGTAGCATATGTTGCAGAACTAATAGTATCTCCACAAAATTAAAACTGCTGTTTTTAACCTATAAGGCCTCAAATGGCTTCACCATTAAGATCAACTCATGAGAGTATCAACATCATGAAGGAATTAGTGGTAATCAAAGATGAGGGAAGCAGATGAAGTTGGCAAAGATACAGTTGTTTTAGAAAGTTTTAGGGGAATGACACAGTAAGTATCTTAATATGGTTGGTCAGTTTTTGCAATTGATTAATTTTCTCATATTTAAAATAGTTATACAGTTTGTTAATGTTAATTATCAAGAATCTAATATGTAATTAATATAGTATGCAAAATTGATGAATAAGTTATATATATATATGTGTGTGTGTGTGTGTGTGTGTGTGTGTGTGTGTGTGTTTTCTTAAGTTTTTGCGGGTACTTTCATGTATGGTATTCAGCTTTGTTCGGGTATTTTCCCACGTCATTATAGTTGTGCTTTTAAAGTTGTAGCAATGTTTCAGCAGAATCTCATCTGCCATCATCAGGCTTCTATATTGTGTTCGCTGTGAAACTCTGACTCACAGACGAACGCAGTACAGAAGCCTGATGATGGCAGATGAGATTCTGCCGAAACGTTGCTACAACTTTAAAAGCACAACTATAATGACGTGGGAAAATACCCGAACAAAGCTGAATACCATATACATATACATATACGTATACATATACATACACACACACACACACACACACAGGCATATATATAGGCATATATTTAAAATGTATGAAGATACATCTATCTGTTTATTTATCTGCCTGTGCTCATTATGAAGCACTTTCCTGCAAACTTCCTTGGTTGCAATTTTATAGACAGGTAAAAGAAAATATTCCTTTATACATTGTGCAGTATTGCCCCTGAGATTGGACTTCTTTGCAAAAAGGATTAGTTTACCTGTGATATATTTCTATATATCATCCTCTAAAACGAGAGGCAGCAAGACTTTCAATATCACGTTTATTTTTTATTATCAATGTATAATGTAAAATGTATAATATTCTAAAGTTGTGCATTCAGAATGCATTTCTTGTTTAGTATTTCAGTTTACTATTCTGTTATCGTTTGTTTTGCAGATTGCATGTGGTTCAGAGCACAATCTAGCAATAGTTGGTAAGTAGAATATTTTTTTGTTAAATGTTCTGAAGTCTTCCTCTTTTGGTTGTATGCTAATTGTAGACCAAATTATTTAGAAAGTATTCTAAGGTATATATTCTGGAACTAGTGCAAATTAAAAATGTAGAAAAGAAGGAAAAAGGGATAGAAAATGCAGAAAAGGAAACAGAGAAATAGAACAGAAGGAGAAATAATATAGTAAATTATGACTTCCCCCTTCATTGTGACAAATACAAATGTTCTCTGAGAATACAACAATCATTTCTTCCTATATCTCATCTCTTTTCTATAAACAAATTTTTAAAACCTGACATTCCTAGTCAGCAACAGTTCATTAAAAGTTACAAAAAAGCAAGATATATATTTTAACTTTAAATAAAATATATATTCTTTCCTTTATATATATTCCTCCTCTTTATTTTCACATTGTAATTTATCACTTATTCTAAAAATATAACAAAAAGTATCTTTTTCCAGATCTTTAGAGCTTCGTCATTCAGTCCTAGACAGCAAAAATCCATTAGCGGTTGGGCTACCAGAAAGATTTTAAATAATTGATTAAATAAACCAACTTTATATTATTTCTGATTGATATTAACAGTCTTGATCTTAATCACTTTAAAAAATGTCTCAGAATGATTTCTTGTTATTTTCTTTTTGTCTCTTCTCTGAAAATTCTTTGAAACTTTAACAAATCTCTTTTGTAAATACAAAATACAAACTTTTTCCTAATCATTCTTCTAGTTCATTATTTATATATCCCTTTTAATTATTAAGACATCAACCATTTCATTTGTATATCCACTGTAACATCTTTTTCCATATCATTCTTATAACTCATCATTATTAAATCCAAGGGAGATGGGTGGTTAAGAAATATGAAATATAAAATATATCAATCAAATCAATGACTCAATCAATCAATTAATCCAGGTTTGAATTCGCCTCAGTCTGGGTGTTATCCAGTAAAATTTGTTCCTCTTTTTTAACCTCATTTAAATCCAGTTTTTCCATAACAGACAATTTTAAGATTAACTTCCAAATACATTGTTCCCAAATATCCTTGAATTCATTCAGAGTTAAAATATTTTGCTGCATTCTGTATTAGTGAGTTGAATTTAAGTGTTCTTTGTTTATAAATCTATAATTCCTCCTAGTTCTACTGTCATACCTTCAAAATCCTTATTCTATTTTTTTTCTAAACCATATTTTCCTGTGGGAAGGTTTCTTATAATTAATTTCAAAAAATTTTCAAATCTCTCTGGACCCTTAATCTGTCAATAACTTTCTGAAATCAAGATTCTAACCATCCTTTTATTGTTATCCCCTCCTTTTAAAGCCTTAATCTTGTCCTTAGTGCTTCTTTATTCAAGAATTGAAGGAAACTCAATGTTGTAAAGGTTCTTAATTCTGTCAACGACAGAAGTGCTGATTTACCACCTGCTTATCAGGTATTTAAGAACCATGGGTGTGGCAGCACAATTGCCAGCCGTTAACACACCAATCAACCAATAGGAAGGCACCATATAAACAGAATAACAGAATAACCCAAAGCACATATCCCAATAGAGACAAGTTCTCTGAAGATGGGCTCCACCACAAGTCTGAAAGCTTGGAAGAAGACATTTAGTCCAGAGACTCACCAAGATTCAATCTTGCAACATTATCTTGGAACATAATTGCCTTCATTCATGAGATTCTTAATAGTTGAAAAGCAGTTAAAATATAATTCCAAAAGTGATTAACGAGGCTCGACTGAGCTTTTTGTCCGTATACAGCATGTTACTGGCTATGAGTTTGATGGAACTCCCTTGACTCTCAGCCACTTCAATCATGAGTTTACCACAAAAAACTTTGATTCCTGCCATCCATTCACAAGGAGCAGCTTTCCAGAGTGCATATGTGCAGTCTCTTGATCTCTCCTATTTCTGGAGAGATTGAAAGTGGCCAGAATTTGCCTTCTGATCATTGATTCTGTAGCAACATGATCTCTGCTCCTTCAAGGATGTTCAGCTCATTGTGTCCTCACCAGAAATAATTGGAATTGTTGGTGAAATACTAACTCTAGCAAAGCTTTGGTCTACAAATCTCAAATAATACAATTAATAATTTCTCACATACAGACAAAACCCTGTTGTTTCCAGTGCCTGCGATTGCAGTAATTTCCCACGTAATGCTGTATTAGTGGTGAGATCTTTTCACCCAGCACAGAGCATTTGTGTACAGCAAGGAAGCACAGCATGTCCTTGTATTACTTTTATCAATTATACATGATAAATTCTGCCTTGACTAAGACTACATTGTATGAGCTTCCCGAAAGATCAGCATGGTAGCATGTTAACAACTCCTTCCTTCTCCTAGCTGTCCTAATCATATCCATAGTTTGCTTACAGGGTATTTAGCAGGAATTCTTCCTAACAACCAAATATTATTCCTTAGGTCTAGCATTTATATCACTGTGCCATCAAGATTTATATGCTTGAGCAAGAGATAGACATAACCGTTCAATTTGTTTATTGTCAAAATCCTTGTTCAGTGGTATTATAATAATACATTCTAATTTAGGCAGCAGCCAAATTTATTCTACAAGTGAAAACCAAACAAAACAGAAGAAGAATAAAATAAGTGAGAAATATCAGTACAAAATAAAACATAGCTGCAGGGAATTATGTCAGGAAGGATTGATATCGATACAGGGGATCTTAGCTAATAAGCAGATTTTAACAAATATAAATATGCATAATTAATATTTACATTTGCTAACTGTAATGATTAAAAGAAAAGAAATTCTCTAGAGAAAAAGAACGGATATTTGCATAGTGTCATTGCTTTGTAGTAAATATATAATCTTTGGAATTTTTGCCAAGTAAAAAAAGGCACATTTTAAAATTAATGTATTTTATGTACACACAGGATCTAACAATAAACTATATTTATACTTACTCTGCTTTCCTACTCTCACAGAGGGAGGCTTTACTAGTCACAGAATAATTTTGCTTTTAAGAGTTTATGGTTGAATAGATTATCATGAAAAAAGAGATTGAGAGATTTTGAAATATAAGTTAAACAGGTGAAAAAATAGTTTATCTAGGCACCAATAAGCATAGTATTCTGTATTAATGGAATGCAGTTTTACTTGGAACAGCTGACACCTTGCAACAATACCTTGCAACAATAATCTCACAAAGCCTTGCAGTTTAGATATCAGCCAAGTCATTTAACATGCTGGCCTCCTACAAGTGAGGTAGGAGGTATTAAACATGTTTCTTGTTCAGGAAGATCTAACTATCAGAACTTACATATTTGTATAGCTGTTTCTGAGAGGAAAAATTAAAATAAACCAAATGCATATGCAGACATTAATCAGATATTTTTAAATGCCCGGCAATCTCTGATTTTCAATCATTATTATCTCCAATATGTCAGTAGCTGAACAACGACAGTGTGCCACTGTCAGGTAATTATAAGAGATAGCCAATTAGTTTTCCCTCCATAACAAACATTTTGTACTGTCCATAATTTATGAGTGGGGTGATTTTACTGTCCAGGATGGTACAGGCCTCTTGCTTGCGCAAGGAGTTGGACTTGAAGACCTTCTGGGTCCCTTTCAGCTATGTTATTCTATTATTCTGTTACCTGAATCATGTTGATGGAAATTGCTGGCAAGGTTAATCATGATAGATTAAATTGTGTGCTTAAATGGTGAGATCCTTATATAGAAGCTTATTTAAATATATCTATAACATAAAAAATGGGATAGAGAAAAGCTGGTCTATGTTCTAATAACTCTGCTTCTCAGGGTATCTGAGAAAGCTGATTTGCTAGAGCAGTTGAAGTCACAAAGCGATCATCAGATGAATGTTAGATTTGTTTGAACCCAATGGATACATTCAGACTATTTTATTGGGTTATCTGATGGTGCCTTCACATCTTGCATGAATCTAGCTATTCTGGCATAGGCAGTGAAGGTAAGAAAATAATTGATTGGCATGGTGAAAATACAGATCAGTTATTAAGTGTACAATCAATTTAAGGATTAAGAATGAAATGTTGAATGGTTTAAATAACTGTTTCCCAACCCTAGCAACTTTGAGAAGTACTATATAGACTTCAAACCCCAGAATACAGGTTCCTCCAGTAATTGGGACTGGTGTTAAAGAAAATCTTTCAAACTGCAGCTCTCTTGCATCTTTATAGATTGGTTAGAATTGAGCTTGGATGTGGCAAAACAGGGTTTTTTTATCGAGGAAATTACAAACAATATCTTTGTGTTGCAAATCATGTGTAATCATATAATCAATAAGAAAACAACAGGAGTCCAAATGGTAGGGTTAAACTGCCCTAAACTAACTATAGTTTATTCGTGAAGTTGTTTACAAATCACACTAAGCAAAAGACAAGCAAGCAACCTACATGATGACTTAACGTGAGATGAAAAGTGTAGTGCATAGTTTACTCTTTTGATGATTGTTTGTGGTAATATAAACAGATGATAGCCATGATGCACAGACAGAAGGCTGCTTCTCTTCCCAATTGGGTTGCCAAATTTTCCACACAGTATTTGAAGTTTATCTTTTTCAAATTTTATATGTTTAAACCTTTGGGGAGAGATTTTGCAGAAAGTGGACGGAAGGAAAGTTTAAAGTGCTTATATATTTCATAGGATAAAGCAGAACAGGACACTACCTGGTTAAGGCATCTTTTTAAATTATATAGCAAATATCATGTTATTCAGCCCTCTTAGTGACTAGTGGAATATCAATGGCATTTTTTTCTGAGACAGAAGCATAAACAAACTTTGTCACAAATGCTGCTTTGTGGGTGTTTTGCTGCTGACAGATCCCTGGTGGGACAGTTGCTACTAGGCACAAAGAACAGCTAGTGTTTATCAGAATTCTGATTTACTTTTCAAAATGAATGATGAAGTGATAGGAGTTCAAGCTCTTCCTCTATAAAAATGCCATGCAAGCTCAAACAAGTACTGGCTCTTTTCCAGA